ATTGCATGGAGTCTCCATGAAATACCAAAAACATGCTTTCATCCTCACCATCTAAATATAAAAGGAAAAAAATCTCCCGCTTTAAGGGCGTCACCAATACATGTCGTCATATTAATGTCAAATCGATACAATGAAGTATTTTCAGTTGGTGCAATGCTGTGTTTTACCCATTTAAAGCAAGAAACTGCTTTATCTAGAGTCAACTAAAACACCAATTTATGTACAGAAACACAAACACAACAAGAACAAGCATATATGACACCTGCTACTCCAGATGAAGAATTTGATCCCGGTGAAATTAATGTTTCATAGGAGATTTTGGACGAATCTCTAAGAAGCCGTGAGAGTGTAACTGAGGTTCTTAATGCAAGTCCAATAAAATTAATATTAAAAAGGAAGTTCGAATATCTGGAAGATACTACTAAAGATAAGTTAAAACACAAGTATGTTCGCCTAGAAAACTTATTAAAGAAAAAATTTGCGGAAGCTGTTGCTCCTGGACAAGAGGAAATACTTATAGATTTTCTTAACTGTAAAAATGTTGATGAAATAAATAGCCCTCTCCCAATTGCAATTATTCGTGCTCAGAAAGTATATAAGCAAAGTGATTCCATTGAAATGTTAGTTATCCTCTCATTATTAGACCATACCATGTATACCAAAAAGTTTATAATGAACACATTTGAATGTACCAAACATCGTATAGAAACAGCAAGAAAATGGCATGCATCTCATAAAGGGTTGGCATTTCCAGAGAAAAAAGTATTCGTCCGAACTAGTCTTGATCAAACAAAGTGTGAACATTTCTTAGACTTTATATTTACAAGCGGTATTTTGCATGATGTTGCTTATGGAATAACCAAATTAAAATACGACAGCGGTGAAGAACAAAAGATAGTGCATGCAATACTGACGACAAAATATAGCCACGCTATCATGTTCTATCGAAAAAGTTGTAGTGAAAACAATTATATACCATTATCTGATTCAAGTTTGTAGAAAGTATTGCATGCAATAAAACCTTCAAGTCAAAAAAGCTTAGCTGGATTAGATGATGTTACTGCTTCAGGCATGAATGGTTTTCAAACATTACAAAAATTAGCACAAAGATTTAGTTCTAAATCCCTCGAAGCTGCCCTTGAAAAAGGAAAAAGGTATTTGAAAACAAGTGATCAAACCAATTGTAGTGTCAATGACTCAAACATTTCTTCTCATAGCTCAAAACATGCCTTATCAGATCCATCTGAAAAAAATCTTCCATCCAACACAGAGATACCAGAAGTGGTATGTGTCGATTGCTATGATTTGTGCAAAGCTATCGAGATGATCAAAGAACTAACAATTCAAAATTCTGACGATGCTGATTCTATTTATGATTTGGAAATTGCTGTAAATGATGTATTCAACTACATAAAACACCTGATGAGAGATTCTCAACAGAAAAAGGCAAAAATCGAAGCTTTTAAGCAATTAAACGATGAAACTGCTTTCTGGCTTGAAGATTTTTGTCAAAAAATTCTTCCGGTTCGATACAGAGAGGGCTAAAGAGAGTATTTTGGCAAGAAAGGAATGAGTTTACATTTGGATATATTCTTCATAAAAATTGCAGGAAAGTTATTCAAACGTGTTTACTTTACTTCAATGTATAGGTGTGATCAGGGAATAGGTGATGTTGTTTCGTTAGCCACTGCAGTTTTAGACCAATTCAGAATTGATCAACCGCATATCAAGAAAATGTTTACCAAATCTGATAATGCCGGCTGCTATCAGGGAAATCTTTCAGCTGAAGCAATCTACAATGTATGCAAAGAGAGAGATATAAAGTTGCCGAGATATGATTATAATGAACCCTGTTGTGGAAAAGATCAATGTGACAGGGAGAGTGCAGTTGTAAAGACAATTTTAAGGAGTTACGTTGACTCAATGATAAAACTGTAGTTACTGGACCAAAGATTAAGAACATTAGCAACTATCACTCATTTGAGTTTTGTGAGAAAAGTATGAAGATGTGGCATTATTTCAATATCGGTGAGGGAATTGAACAAGAGTATGGAAATCTTAAAATTCAACCCTCGATTAAGTTGTTATTGCCATATAGCAAAACAGATAATTCAATTAAGCGTAACAAGTCACTTAAGGAAAAACAGAAAAGAAGTGGCAGGCAATTATATTCATTAAGATTTTGCACTGAAATGAATTGTACTTTATCATTTGAAAGCGATGCTGAGTTAGAAGAACACATGCTATCCGGTCTTCATACAGTTCCGAAATCATTAACATCATTGGATAAAGTTCGCAACTCGTTTGTTCATAAGATGAAAATTACTTCACAACTAAATGTGCCAATTTCTTCATCCTCTAACAGTGCTTCCGTAAAAGAAAAACCACATTGCATGAACATTTTTCTATTGCAAGGTTGGGCATTACCAGTTCGAAATTCTTTTAGATTTTCAAATCAGCAGAAAAAACTGTTGTATAAATACTTTATTCGTGGAGAAGAATCAGGTAATAAAATGAGCTCTGAGCAGGTTCACATGCAGCTGAGGAGACAACTTCCGCCTGATCAATATGTAACTAGCCAACAGATAAGATCTTTATTTTCAAGGTAGGCATTGTTGCTATCAAAACTTTTACAAATTAGATTATGTTTCTGACTGTTAAATAGTTCTTTTACAAATATGAAATTAAAATTTAGGTGAAAGTTATAATTTTGTGTGTTTGTTTACATATGTTTAAAAATATTTACAATTGATATTGTTATAGATTTAGTAACCTGAAAAGAAAAGGTAAGCTGGTAGAACCGACAACAGAAAATAATGAAAATAGTCAGGTTAACGATAACAAAGAAGTTTATGGCGAAAATGATGACTTTAATCTGACAGGAGCCAATGAAGATGATAATAAACATGAGGAAGACATCGCCAATCTTGCAAAAGAAATTTGTCTTGTATGGAAAGTGAATGATTGGGTTGCTGTTGCATATGAAAAACAATGGAATATTGGATATATTGTGGAGGTAATATTGTTCAAAGTATATATTAGTTTCAAGTTTTTATTTTGTTTTACAAAACAGTGCTCTAAAATAAAAGGAGTATAAATAAAATGTAAAAATAACTTCAGAATGACATTATATAAGACTTTACAAGTTTTATTGAATGTAAGCAAAATTAAACAAATCATAAACTCTTTATTATATTATTTTAAATGTTGCGCTAATACTTTTAGGTATCTACAACTGGGATCAGAGTTAATTGTATGATTAACAGGCAAGAGAAGAATACTTTTTGCTGGCCAGTTACTACCGAGGAGATAAATAACCAAACTGATAAAATTATCTGTTTAGTAAATGCTCCTTTTCTAATCAGTGGTTGTGGCAATTATTCATTTTCCGAAAAAGACTATAATACAGTCATATCTTTATTCTTAGAGAAACTTACTGCAGCAGAGTAGAAATTATGTGTGATGTGGTGGATAATGTGTGTAAATGACTCTATTAATAAATGAAAAACTAATTTTTAAATGGAAAAACATTTAAATGTTTGATTTATGTTTTATTTAATTAGCAATATAGTTATCTTGATGTTAGATTTTTGTTCAGTTTTTAATTCATGTTATATCATACGTGTGACAAAATCACACGAATTTTTTTTATTACTATGTTAGGACCTTTTTGTATTGACAGTTGGATATGTTTACATTTTTACAAAACTAAGCGCCTCTGCCGTAATGGTTCATTTTGTAAGTATATTAAAACATTTTTTTCCAATTTCAAGCTTTAATATATTAATAGGCCTTAGGTATCACATAACTTTCTTTGCATTTTTAGACTCAATATCTTTGATAATTTCAAATCCTAAAAGAAAAATTGTGTGCAACACTTCGCCGCTAGAATTAACTCCGATTAAAAATTGACAAAACTGATTGATTTTGTACTTTTGAACTATGATAATTAGCCAACCGCACAGTGTCACGCAACTTTTTTATATTTTTTGGAGAGAGCTTTTGGGTTACGTCTGATATTAACTACAAAAGCTATGTGCAAGTTTTTGCCTTGCCAAAAAAATGAGTTTAAAGGTGGCAAAAACTAAATTTCTAAAAATTTTTAAAAAAATCTCAAAAATTTAAGCCCAGATTTCGAGTGAACGAAACATTTTTGAAATTTTTTTTTTTCCCCAACAGGTTTTCTCTATATTCTGATCAATATATAAAAAATTCAAGCAATTTGGACGAGGTCACTTCCACAGTTTCAGGAATATGCCTGATTCTTAGAAAAAACGGCTCTTAATTATACATAAATACATGTCACAATATTTCATTGTATCTTTAAATAGATCAACTATGGTCAATGAACGTTTGTCTTCTTTAGCAATGCTGTCGATTGAAAACGAGGTTGCCAGAAAATTAAATTATAAAGGCATAAAATAATAATAAAAAGGCATAAAGTTATTAATGAGTTTGAAAGCATGAAAACACGTCGCAAAACCTTTTTTTGATGATTTGCGACTTGTATTATCTGCGTAATACATTAACATTAGTTAAAGAAACTCTAGACTAGTAAACTCTGTATCAATTTAACAATTATAAAAAAATATCTAATTGAATTAAAGCGTTAATTTGATTGTTTTTAATCTTATGAACGGCGAAGTTAATATATATTAGGTAGCCAGATGTTTCGAAGTAATCTGTAAATTTTGTTCACTTTTTAAAAAAAAAAATAATAAAAAATTGGGGCCCTAATGAAAAGTTTTTTTTTGAAGGGGGAGGGGGGGAGCCCAGACCCACTTGCCACGGCACTGTCTGTTCCCTTCACATCTTAACTATAAAAGGTATTGTAAATAATGTATTATGAAGATGAAAAAATATATATCAAAAAATAATAATAATAATAAATAAATAAATATAAAAATATTCTATAAGAATATTCTATTTAAGTTTTACTAAATCACGTAAAATTTTACAAATTTGCCTTGTTACGGTTTAAAAGATCCGGCAGTATCGTATTTACTTTTGCGTCGTAATTGAAATTTTAGTTAAAAGCGTGTTAAATCAAAGTAAAAGGCACTTTTTGCACTTTTTTTTTTCTTTCTTCTGTATCTAACCCTATAGTTAAAAAACCAGAATACGTTATAAGTCTTACACTTTTACTCCACTTTTTAATTAAATTAAAAAAAAAAACACCATTGTTATGGCAGACGTGAAAAAAAAAACTATTCTTGACACTCTGAAGGATTTAGAAATCCAGTCAATTTCTTCTTCACTACCTTTTAATGACCCTGAGGACGACGATGATATTTTTACGTCTGCAAAAGTTGCAAGTAATGATGATCCTAACTTTGACGATGACCTTCTGTCATCCAAGATAGGAAGTTTACGAAATAAAGTTAGCAATATTGAAGAGCGTGACATTAAGTATTTTGGTAAAAAAATATCAAGAAAAGTTATAGGTAATTCAACCGTTTGTAAATTTAAATTGTAGTTAATATATGCAGAAATTTTTTCATACTTATTTAAGTGATTTTATAAAAATCTGAATGAAAAAGTGTTATTTTTTTAATTAATTTTTTTTGTTGAAAGTTGTGTTATTATAAAAATTTTATAATAATAAATAAAGTTTGCTCAAGAATATTTGTAATTTTTAACTTAGTAAACGCTTGCTTTGGATTGCAATAGTATTTTCTTCTGTTTTATTTCTGTAGAAAATGACGATTCCTTTGAAGCAGAAAATGGTTCTTCTGAAAGTGATGAGAATGAAGAAAGTTCAAAACATGATAACAGTTCTATTCAGGAAAATGGAAGTAGTAATGGTGGTTCTGATGGTGATGATTTTGATGAAGAGGATTATAACAATGATGATAATGATCATGATGATATTGACAGTGATTTCAATATTAAGATAGATCCATCAAAACTTCCATCTGACCTAAAAATAGACAAATTTACATGTAATGCTGATGATGGTATTGAAAATTTTAACACTACTAAAGTTGAGGAAGATGTGAGGAAAGGAACAGCCACAAAGCTTCAAATGGGTAACTTGTATACTTGTATATGTTTTTACCCATTTATTAATGACTAAAATATATCTTTACAAAATACTTTTTTTAATGAGTTTATCAGCCAGATATATATATATATATATATATATATATATATATATAATATATATATTTAAGCAGCTGTAGTGCAGTGGTTAGTGCACTTGCCTCAGAAACTAGAGATCCATTGTTCAACGCCACCTCTAGGCAAGTTTTATAATATCAGTAGAGAAGGAGGTGTGAACTTCCTTTCAAAAGCTCTTCCTCAGTGCTCTTTGATAAGACAGTAAAGACTTCTTGGGGCACCTAAAATAAATAAGTTAATATATGTATATATATATATATATATATATATATATATATATATATATATATATATATATATATATATATATATATATATATATACATTTACAATGTGCTTTTGGACCTTGTCTTGAAAGGAAGTGCATCATTAGAAGAACCTGCCCAAATGTGGCAATATTCCATGCAGGGACAAATAAGAAAGTTTTAGAGGTAAAGAGTGGAGTCATATCGATTCTATATATGGTTTACAAAAAAGAGGTCAGTAGTAAACGATAATCCATGAGGAAAGTTAATAAGAGGACTCAGTGAGATGGTTGCCAATTGTTAATATAGGAATGTCAACAGTTTTAAAATAGTTGTTTGCAGTAGGTAACTGAGTTTTGTTGGAGTTAAAAATAACAAGCCACTGCAAGCCCTAATCTGTTGCAGAAGTAAGATCAGACTCAAGATTGGCTGCTTGTTCTAAGACTGTCAAAGCAAGAGTACAAAGTTGAGTTATCAACAAACAGAGCCACTTTCAATGAAAGTTTGTCAGGAAGATCATTGATGTAGATAGAAACTTGAGGTACCTTGATACCAAGATACTATGAGGTACCACAGAAGTTACTGAAAAAGAAGAAGAGTGTCAGCTTTTAAGGATGACTTTTAATAAAGCGGTAAGAAAAACAATTTGATAATCTCAAAGACTTTCATAGATAATGCCATAAGAGGCTAGCTTATGGAGAAGACCAGCATATCAAACTTTGTTGAAAACTTTAGGTATGTCAAGACCAATAGCCCTAGCCTTGATGCCCCCCTCTCATGCACAATAATCTCATTATTGTGCATGATAATAATTTTTGGCTCAGCCAAGCACTTTTTTTATAGTTTTGAGAGAATTGAAGAAAGCTCTGAAGAGCAATTTTAGAGGCCCTTATCAAAAGTTAAAATTTTGTTTTTTTGTATTTTTTATAATAAAAATATTGAAATATATATTGTTACTGTAACTATTAATAAAATACTTGGCCTTTTAATCACCATATTACCTAAATTATGCAAGCGTAATAAAAGCAATAATATTTTTCATGCAAAAAAAAAAAAAAAAAAAAGTTAAATTCGATACCAGTCCAAACCGTAATATAACGCAAACTTAAAGTGGTTTCTTAATGTCCATGCCGTAATATTACGCAAAATAAAAGTGGTTCCCAAATGCCCATGCCATATTATTACAGTTTTATGCATCTCCTTATATTTCCTTCTTGTTCATCAGTAATTATTCGTCTACTTGTCACAAAATTTGTTACTACATAGTTACAGAGCTTTTGTTCAATAATTCACTTTAATTTTAATATAGTTATCAAAAAGTAAATATTTACTCACGAAAAGAAAGAAAATTATACATTTGATGAATCAATAATGAAAATATATATTTGATGAATGATTATTAAAAATGATAAAAGGTTAATGCTGAATGAAGGTGTGTGCAAGGCCAGCGCGAAGGGTGTGTGTGGTGGGTGTAACCCCCCTCCTTCCTTCCATCAATGATTTTTAGTCGGCAAATTTGACCCTTTTCGACTAGTTAGTCGGCAAATGTCAATATAGGGTAGTCGGTAGTTTAAACAGTTAGTCGGCAAATGTCATCATGCAGTCGGCAAATTTTTGAAAACGAGGACTTTTTTATTTTTAAGTCAGCAAAAGTGATAATGGTACCCCCTCCCCCCACATAAACATGACACCTACTCGCGCCGGCCCTGGGTGTGTGGTATGGTAATTGGAAAAGCAGCCCCATAATTTTTCAACTATCATACAAAAAGTGAATATTTGTAAACACATTTTTAAAATTTTGTGTTTATGTAGTATGATTTATATATTCCTAAACTTTTTTATTAGTAATACGCGTTGTTAGTTTTTTTATATCATAAAAAACAATGAAAGAAGGTTTGCAAAAATTTATAATTATCTTTCGTTAGAATTGAAGAAAGCTCTGAAGAACAATTTTGTAAGAATATGACAGGAATGTTGTATGGAACACAAGCCATAGAAGACATTGAGATATGACTTTAGTAACAGAAGCTGGAGTGATTTGAATGTTTTAACAATGGGTTAACCTGTTTAATTCGAATGGAATGAAGAGTACGGCCAAAAGATTCAAGGTCAAATTAAAAGAAAATTTATTTGCAAATAGGGAGAAGTAAGATCAGTCCCATGAATAAGAGGTAGAATGTTAGACCTACCTTTGCTAATAGCGCGGTTGAAGATTTTCCAAAAGTCTTTAGTTTGAGATGTAACTGTGTGCAAGCTAGGGTCAGAGAAGTAACTGAGTGCAAGCTAGGAGCAGAGAAAAGACACAAATCAAGAAGTGAAGGTAAATGATTAGGATTATCTGGAAAACAAGTCGTAAAGTTAACTGTCTGAGTAAGAATTAAGAAATGCAATAGTTATAAGCTTTTGTGCCAACAGGGTCAGTGGTGTTAGAGCCAAGCCATTCAGTGTGATGAGCATTAAAGTCACCAATAACAAAAATATTGGCAGCGGGTAAAGAGAAAGAGCATGGTCAATTTGATCAGAAATTATATCTAAAAGAGTGCAGTCTTAAGAAGAATCAGAACAGAAAAAGAACAAAGAGAAAGGTGAAAAAACAAGCAATTCTAGTGAATTTTGTAATAGGTAAGATTCAACTGATGGAAGTTTACTTTGCAGACCGCAAATTTTTGTGAAAGATATGTTGAAATATTTTGGTGATAGGGAAAAGTTTTTTATGTTTAATTTTTTCATTTACTTTAGGCATGATTTAAGTTTAAAGAAAACTTGATTTATTTATAGATAGAAAACAGTGTCCTAAGCAATGAGCTATGCAGTTATCTTAGTCTTATTAATTAATCCAAATTTGCAACATAGGGCTCCTTATGCGGACTTGAGAATGCTTATCAATGACATTAACAGGGACATCATCCATGTGCAACATGACACTGTTGATACTCTGATATTTTTTAGCTGTTGATGAAATCAGCCTCTCTGATAACTACCACAGAGTTCAGGAAACCTTTCTTCTAGTCGGCCTCAGAACTATTAATCTGAATTATAGAGCTGTACCCTTATTAAGATTTAGCTGGAAGAGTTGCATAGCCGCTATCAACTATATTTGAACCAAAGCTAGCATTTCTTTATGTATACCATGGTTAATAACACTTTGTCAAACTAATTCAACTTGCATGGTATTTTTAATGTTACATGACTCATTATATGCTAAATAAAAAATAGGGGATGATTTTAAATCAGGAGGCCTTCAAGACATTAACTAGATGCAGTTAACTTCTTCCCAAGATGAATATTTTTTACGAGACAATATCTCTAGCCTTTACTCAACCAAGAACACCCAATCCCCTTTCAAAGCTACCAAGGCAAGGAAGATTTTAGTTCAAAATTTGTTTCTCCTAACTTTTTCCTAAATAAGTAAATCCTACAAGGCATCAGGGCATAATTACATGATACCAGTAGCAGGGTGGGCCTGACAACCTTCAACCGGACCTGACCTGAGTAGTTGATATGCTACAAAGATTAATTTTTTTTACAAAATTTTATTACATTTTTTTTTATATCTGTAATAATATTTGTACCAATAGCATTTAAATTATTTATGTTTCTTGATGACAACAGTATAGTTATGGATAATTTTATGTTTTTAATAACTTGAGTTCTTTGTTACATATGGGTGCTGTTAAAGATAGAAAAGATAAAAGTATTTTTCTTTTTTTATAAGTGTTTGTTTCTTTCAGTAGCTAAGGTACAGACAATAGGTATTTTCAATAAGGGTATACAATTATTTTGTTTTTATTTTTACATGGCCTTTTCCCATTTTTTTATGTTTTGCATTTTATTTTTTTTGTATTTTTTGATTATCAATAACTGTTTTTAATTAAATATAAATTATTTTTTTTTCTTTTTTAAAAAAAGTTTTAATCTATTCTAATCTAAAGGTGTGTCCTAGACACCTAAAAATCTATTAAAACATGTTAAAATGTTTTTAGACGTTATAAACATTTCTTGTGTTAACTTATATCATTTATTAAAAAATGATTTTTATTTATTTAAAGTTATTTAATATTAAAATTTTTAAAATATTATATTTTGCAAAAAATTGTTATTTAGAACTTTTGGACAAACTTCTTGAATCAAGAATTCGATTGCAGAAATCTTTACATATTGTTAATCGACTTCCACTAAGTCAAAACATGAAGATCTTTGCATCACAAAATAATCTTCATGCAAAAGATCATTATCATACAGGTATATTCTCATTCCTACCTATTGTTTATTAATCTGCATCCTATATCATTTCATATATTATTCTATTCTTTGTTGATCATATAAAGAAATTGAAGTTTATATAAAATATTTTTTTTAAATTTATTTTATAAAATACTTTATTGAAATATTTTATATGAAATATATATTTTTTTAAATTTATTTAAACTCAATTATTAATTGAAACCACTTTAATTAATATTTATTATCATTAATAATCGAGGTTATTCAGGTTAATCAAGGTTATCAAGATTAAGTTATTCATGGATGAATTTAACGTTAGTATAGTATCATGGGGTAATAATGTAGTGGTAGACAGTTTTGTAAGCAAGATGTACTTAGTTTTATCTCCAGCATGTCTTTGGTAAGACATCTACCAGAAAAAATGTTTGCATGTTCTAATGTGGTGTTTACAGAAATCGTTCGTTACTTTAATTAACTAATTGTTTGAATGTCATTCTTGTGTTAAGTTTTTTAAACAACTCTGTTATCAAAACAATTAGTTTTAATTGAAATGTCATCATATCAAGAGAAAAAAATTTTCATTTTCTGGTTGAAAATCTTTGTACATCAACAAAACAATTTATAAATAGTTGCAGATTTGAGAACAGAACAAAGCGTTGTGAAACAATTTAAAAACACTGGTACAATCAAAAGGAAATCAGGGAGTGGAAGAAAAAAAGTTTTTATTCAACAAGATCTTTTTAAAAAATTTAAAGATGCCGTAAACAAAAATCCAGAAATTTCTATTCAAACTTTAGCAAATAAATTCAAGATAAGTGCTTCCACTATACAAAGAGTGAATAGAAATTGTGGCTATAAATCTAATAAAAAGAAAAAAAGTCCTTGTCATAAAGAAAAGCAAGAAAGTGTTTAAATTTGTCATTCAAAAATGCTCTATAAACAATTATGTGCTAAAAAATCTTGCTTGATTAATTATAATGAAACTTATTGTGCTGCATATTTCCTATCTTCCAGGACACTAATATTATTCAGCAATTAATTGCAAAAAACTGAATTCCATATATAAATAATTTGGAATGGAAATATTTGCTAGAAAGTTTTGTTTGGCAAGTAATTTGTGAAGGTGGTGAAAGAACCTGTTGTTTTGTGACTACGAGAACTATTAACATCGAAATATACATCAAGGAATGCCTTAAGAAGCGTCTTGCCACTTTTAGGATCTTATGAGTAATTCGTTATTTTGGCATGATTTAGGATTATGTCACTACTCTGGGACAACTTTAAACTGGTTTAGAAAAAATAAAGTTGGTTTTGCAATCCACCAAATTGTTCCGAATTATGTCCTATCCAAAGATGTTAGGCTATTGTCAAAGGAAAACTAAGGTTAAATGTATAAGAAGCTAAAAACATCTAAGACTTTAAAAATAAATGGATTAGAGCTACCAAGAAATTTCAGCCAAAAACTGGTCTCAAGTGTAAAATGCAAAATGCGTCCGTATTGTTTTGTTTTTTTTCCGATTATTGAGTTAAAGGTTATTACAACATTTAAAAAAAAATAAGAATAAAAAGCTCCTCGACCGTTCTGACCAGTGCACTTTAATAATAATTTTTATACATACTTTAACAGTTTATAAATTTAATAGTGAAATTTTATTAGAAATTTATGGCACTACAATTTATAAAATGAAACTTACAATTTATTAGTTTTATGTTTATAAATTCAACTAATTAGTTTTTAATTTAAACTTATAAAATTTAAATTTATTAATTTCTGAACTTTTATCTCAGAAATTCATTTTTTGAGTTTGTGTGTCCGCCACTACCTATTTCTTTAAAAATTTGTCTCAATGTTTGTAGCGCCTTTTTTAGCACCAAGTTTAGTGGTTGCAAAAAAAATGTAGTTCTCAGTGTACTCAATGCAACTAAGGCATGGTACACGTTTTTCAGAAGAAAAATATCAGTTTTCTCAATTGACATATTTGGTATGTTCGGAAAAATTATTTTAACCACTATTGTAATCTGGTAAAAGTAATGCGACTATAACAAATCCTCAAGCTTAGTTTTATTTAGAAAAGATGCAATGTTCCGCATAAAGGTCTATGGATTTGATTTTTTCAAAAAAGCATGTATTGGTCTTTGTTTTCAATGAATCTAATTTGACATTTCTAATCAGATATTATTTGGGAAAATTGTCCATGAAAAACTGTTTTTTTTTAATGAAAATTGAAGTTCTTTTTTTCAATACCACACTTGAGTTTGTTTAGCAAAAAGGTCATGTTCTATTAAGATAACCTATGGTATTGCTATTTTTTCAACAAAAGTTGTTTTTGCATAAACAATTTGCATAAATTTTTAGCCCCATTCAAAAAACTGTTTTTTGTATTTAGTATCATATTTTGAAATGCTCGGGACTTGTTAGGCTATCTTGAAAAATAATTTATTCCATTCAGAATGCGTAAGCAATTAAAAAACAGAGGCAGTAAACTTTAGAAAACAAATTACTTTCATTTCCAAACTCATTTCGTTTTCATATCAGTAGTAAACTTTAATTGACATTTGGTTTTTTTTGTTTTTATATAAAAATAATTTAAAAGTAACATAAGTTACTTTTAACATATTATTATAAAAAAAATTATATTTTTGAACACTAAGTCGATACAAATAGCTATTATGGCTTCAGTTATGTAAGATAAATACTTTTTGTTGTTAGAACAGTGCAAAATGAAAAATATATTACATAATTCATTCCAACTGCTATTAAAAGTAGCACATTTTTCAAAAATATACCAAAACAAATATATTGAATTGTAATTTGGTTTATAAATTATATCAAACTAACACATTAAGATATCCCTATAGTTATATTGATATGCCTTCTGCAAAAACTGTTATAACAGACGCTTCAATTGTTTTATTTTATAATATTATAAAATAAAACATCAATTCCGTTCAACAGCATTAACTTAATTTTAGTTTAAAATTTTTGAAAAAGTGTCTTAATCTACTATAGACCCTAGCTCTAATTGGTTCTTCTATTAATTTAATACAATTGTCAAAACACAACATTTCTATCAATCAGAATTCTAATTTTTTTTTTTAAAAATATTAGAATTCTGACCAAGAAAGCGCTTATAATTTAGAAAAGCTGTCAATAAAGGATCAGAACAGATCATATTGTTAAACTATGATGTTCAGATTTTAAGAAGATTTTTTAAAAAAATCTTCGGTCTGGGTTTTTTTTGCTACACGTTTACTAATTTTTTTTTAAATTTCTACATTTTTATTTTATGTAATGGCAAAATTTATCATTGTAATTGTTTTCATCTTTTCATGATTCACAGACCTGATCAATTAAAATAAAAGTATTTTGTTGTCAGCAAATTACAGGCTTATTATTTAATTATTAAAAATCGCCTTAACTACTCTGACTCTGTTTCTTATCTATTTATTTTTTTAACTGATCCTTTTTAATGCACTGTTGTGCAATTGTTATGCTACATTGATATTTGCTTAAAAAGTTAAAAAAAGTACATTAATAATCTTCCACAAAGTGGAGTCCAAATTCTTCTTGGTTATTGGTTTTAATCATTACAACAGTACTTCAATAACTTTTAGTAAATAGTACAAATGATAACAATAGTTTGTCATGGATTTTAGTTAATGTTCATATTATATACTTCATAACTTTTGTTAGGTACTTTTTGCAGGTATTTTGGAAAGGTGACCCAAACGCAGCTTATCATACCTTAATAATTAGACATTAAGTGTCTCATCAAAACTTTACCAATTACTATTTATTATCAAGTAAACTAATGGTTATTTTTAATAATAGACACTAACAGGTAGACAAATCTATCCAAAAAAAATTTTTTTTCTTTCTAATAATTACTACTGTACAAAATACATTTAAATATTTTAATTTATAAAATAATTTAATTGATCTATTAATTAAAATCAAAATAAAATAATTATTGAATGTAAATAATTTAATTAATCAATTAATTAAAATCAAAATAATATAATTATTGAATATATAAAATTCGTAGCAAAACAGACTTTATATGTGTTCCAGATTGCTAAATAACAGTTGTGTCATGTACAAATGGACAGTTTGTAATCTTTCTTAATAACTGATCAATTAACTCAGTAAGTTTAAAATAAATTTTTTTAATATTACTGTTGTTGTAGTAGAAGTTATATATAACTGCTACTATGACAACAGTTTAAAATCAGAGAACAGATGAATCTAGTTATTAAATAAAGTTAATTAAAATGTTTTTATAAATAACTAATAATCCTAGTTAATAAAATGTGTAAATAATAAAATAAATAATTGTTTAAAAATGTAAGTGTATGTTTATTAAAAAAATATCTGCTTTTAATAAAATAAATAAGACGCAGTTGTTAGCCTAAATTTATTATGTTATTGTCTTAGATGAATGAAAAAAACTATTATGTATGTATATATACACGAACCTTGAGAAACAAGTTGAGCGCCGTACTACCAGGGAAGTGGTGGAGATCAAACTCGGAACTTCTCGCTTCTGAAGCGAGTGTTTTACCACTACACCACTATCGCATTACACCACTATGGCATATAAGAAAGGCTGAAAAACAGATCCAGCAAATTATCGAAAGGTCTCCCTCTATTCTGTTACTTGTAAAATTCTTTAGAAAATAATTAGAGATAAAATCACAGAACATTTATCTCATAATAATCTTATATCTACTTTTCAACACGAATTTGTTACAAATAAATCAAGTATCACAAATCTTTTAGAACTATAGACTTTATAACTAAATCAAAAAATTAAGGTTCGACAGATCTTATATTCCTTGATTATGCTAAAGCTTTTGATAAGGTACCCCATAAACCTTTATTATTTAAACTAAATAAATACGAAATTGTTGGTAAACGTTCTTTTTGGATAATCTCTTTCCTTTCAAATTGTCAACAATATATTGTTTTAGGAGAAAAAATATCTGATTGGATTCCTGTCACTAGCTGTGTTCCTCAGGGTTCTGTTTTGGGACCATTGTTTATTATATTCGTAATGATCTGCCTAATAAGATAAGCAACGTTTTTAAAATGTACGCTGATAATACAAAGATACTTGCCACAATTGAAAGCAAAGAAGATTGTGAATGACTGCAGAGTAATATTAATTGGATTACAGAATGGACAAGAATATGGCAAACGTAACTCAATGAGAGCAAGAGTAAAGTAATGCATATTCTAGGAATTTACTAAAATTTGATAACTATATAAATGAAAAAGATTTAGGTATAAAATTGTCATTTGATCTTAAATTTCATGATCAAGTCACAAAAGCATCATATAAAGCTAATTGAATGCTTGGAATTTTAAAAAATAAATTTATATCTAGAAATTTTACTATATGGAGTAAACTTAATAAAATTTATAAATGTTTATTACTAGAAAATAGATGCCAACGGGGGGATCAAAAATACAAACAAGAGAATTTTAAAAATAAAGTAGTTTTGCACAAAGAACCTGTTTCTCCAAGAGTTGACCAATCTTAACAATACCACAGAGAAATCATAAAGAACTGTGTTCAACGGTATTATTTCTTTAACAATAGAGTTGCTTCCATTTGGAATTCACTACCAGATGATGTTGTCATGCAGCAAAGTGCAAACTCTTTTAAAAATAGCTTGGACAAAGGCATTGAATAAAATTTACACTTAATAATCTAACAGAACTACAAAATAAAAAGGCAATCTCGAAGTTACTTTCTCATTTTTTGGCGTTTGACATTACATTTATATATATATATATATATATATATATATATATATATATATATATATATATATATATATATATATATATATATATATATATATATATATATATATATATATATATATAAAACCCCCTTATTTATTTTAATTTGTTAAATTATATAAGGGGGTAAATTATAAGTTAAAATATTATTTAGGGGGTGCGTCGGCTAATAGAAAATTAAAATGACTCCCATCAAGAGGCCAATCTTCTACTGGTTTGCTGAAAAATGCTGAAGACAATCCAAGTATACTATAAAAAGAATTTGTGTTAGTTGTTACAAAATCTTCAAGCTGCTTAGAGTCAATAGTTTTGATATCTATTTCTGTTTTCTTTGGAGGATCTGTTTCTAAAGGTTTTGTATCTGGTTGACTGTAAGGTTGGAATGAATTGTCAGAATAAATTTAGGGTTACATCAAGTTAATTTGCCATTTTTAGATTGCAATTTTCAGAAATAAGAAAAGTATGAATTTTATAAATTTGCCCTAAATGTTTTTATTTTTTCCAATATTTGTTCGTAAAAATAGCCAAACTGTTGTCTCATCATAGATTTTTTTTTCCTTTGCAATTTTATAACAAGAACCAAAATGGTTTTTATAAAAATACAAAGGCTGAAACATGAAAGCTGAAACAAAATGAAAATAACAATTATTTTGCATACTCTGTGCTGTTAAATGCTAAAAATTTCCGTTTGTGGTAAAAAAATAACTTTTGACAACTCTTTGTGTTTAAAAATAACAAAATCAGTTAAACTTTATGTAAAAAGCTATTATATTTAGATGAGGAAACTAATTAAATATCATTGTTTTTTAAAAAAACCACAAAAGTGTAACTTAATATACTAGAATAGAGCATATGTAGAGTGCTGCTACATAGGCTGACAAAAAGATAGAATATGTGAGGAGTTCTGCTACATCAACTGCAAATAGGTAGAACATGCAAGGAGTCCTGCTACATCAATGGAGGACTTAAGTTTGAACATTCATTCTATCAATTTATAAAAATATTTTTTAAGTTTTTAAACTTTTTCTAGTTTTTATTGAAAAAAAACAAAAAAAAAAACATGTTTACATTAGACATTGCAATTATTTTTTAAAATTACAAAACAATACAAACAGACATTTATTATAAAGAAACTCTTGACTACTTAAACTTTTATAGTCATCATCCATTTCACATTAAAAACAATATTTCTTATAATTTAGTGGAAAAAAATAATTGTTTTCACATCTAATTACGCTACCGAAAAGTTATGTTTAATAGAACAAAAGTTGTGGTTAAAAGATTGTGATTACCCTGAAAGTATTTTAAAAGTATTTTGTAACTCAAAGTTGCAAGGACCCACATCAATAAAGAAATCTAAAGAAATGTTTCCTTTAGTGACAACTCTCTATAGCAACCATAATTGTACACTTTATGTTACTAAAAGCAAACCTTTTACTTAAAGTTTCTTCTAATGAAAGAGTTAAAATACTTTTTTATATTTATCAAATATTGGCTTTTAAACAACATCTAATTTACTCAGAAAAATTACTCCTTCAAATATTGAAGTAACTAACAAGAAAATTGGATTGTTCAAATGCAAAAGTATTCTATGCAAAATTTGCAAACTCTACCTAAGTAAGTATTTAACAGCAATATATGGAAAATTAGTTTATATCGCATGCAACAGTAAAAATGTAATTTGTTACCTTAAATGTTTATAAACAACCTAATGTTAAACCTAATAATTAAATTTTATCCGGACCTGATGCCAACCTAATACAGTATTAGGTCAGCTAAAGAAGGCAAACTCTGATATGAAAAATTGGACACTCATAAGGGACAGTTAAGTTCAGCATTAATAATGATGTAAGGTTCAGCAACAAAGTGACTTTACTAAACACAACAACAATAACAGTAATAATAATAACAACAAAAACAACAATAAGTCACTTGTTCTAATAGATTCTAACAGTTATACACTATAAATTAGTTACTTACAGATAAAAACTGATAAAATATTACTACCCACACTTGTATAAAGCATATTAAATAAAAATGTGAGATAACAACAATAAAGGTAGAAGTAAAAAAAAATGAAAGTTTCAATTAGTACTGAATAAAGTGATGCCATAAAAAATATAAGTATTTAAATAAAAAATGAAAATAGAATATAATACAGACATAAATTAGTGTAAAATATTTTAGTTTTTTTGTTTGTTAGTTTTTGCTTGCTTTTTCTTATTTAAAAATGTTTGTTTTTTACTTTTTGTAGCAAAAAACTCCTTAATAGAATTACTTGATCAACTTTTAAAGCTTCAATCAATGTTATTTGAAAAAAATACTGAGACAAGTACTTTGCTAACCTCTGAAACAAACATTAAACAAATTGATTCTGATGAGGAAATTACAAGTGATTCAGAACATGAAGAAAGTGAAAAAAAAGATTTTGATGGAAAATCACCATTAAATTTGCCATCAAAGAGAAAGCACACTCTTGTAAAATTATATTTTTGTTGTTGGTTTTTTGTTTTTGTTGATGATGATCATGATAATGATGATTTTTTATTTTTTCAAGTCAGTTAAAGATTACGAAGAAGAAATTAGTAAAAGACATAAAGTAGCTCTGCCCTATCATGAATCAGTTATAAATAAATGGTATGAGAGAACAAGATTAGGATCAGGGAAAATAAATACAAAGGTAAAATTGATAAGTAGGTTAGTTGGATAATAGGTTTTAAATAGAGCTGTGTTATAGAAATTGTATATATATCATGCTTTGTTTAAATTTTTTGTTCATACTTACACATTTCTCAACAACAGCTCTATTTATTTCGACAAAAATCAAAAAAGCATGAATAAAATGAATTAGTAGTATTGCATGCTTTAGAATTTGTAAAAATACTTTTCTTTAAATTTACTAACAAAGCACAGTACTAACTATTTTCTGTGTAATAAGTCAGACTAATATATTAGACACAGAAAGTAGTTTTTACTTTGCTGTGTTTTATGTTTTTTATCTTCTTAAAAAATCAAATACTACGCCAAGAATTGTCATAAAAACAACATATTAATTTTAATAACATAACTTAATTGGGTGTGTGTGGGGGGGGGGGGGACATTTTTAACTGTATTCAGTAGTTACTATGAAATTTTAAAATTAACTATCAATTTTTCAGGTTTCTAAACTATGGCAAATTCAAACTGTGACAAAAATTCAAAAAGTCATAACCCTAATGTAGATAAGGTCTAATGTAAATAACCCTAATGTAGAAACTATCTGTTATCTTTTTTGTACGTAAATACTGTCGGTTAAATTCAACCCTTTCGCAACAAACTTTGAATCAGTAAATTATGATTAAAATCTAAATGACTTTTTTAAAATTAGAAATTGAAAGTTTTTAGCTAAATATTTGTTCGGGGGGGGGGGGGGGGAGGGAACCTAGTACACATGAATTACAAGGTGGTATATATGTGTACCAACAATGCTGTCTGAAACTTTCAAAACCAAAATTAAAAATAGACTATTTTCTTAGTAACAATTTTGTTGTTTTTTCAGCACTTTTTCTCAAAAATTTATAAAAGAAAAACATTAAAGAACTATTTTTAGTACAATATTTGATTTTAATTAAATTTAAAAAAATGTTGGTACACATGTGTAATTTGTATTATTAACTTTGTACTGGTATGATACAGTTTTTTAATTTAGAATTTCAGTGCATTTGACAAATCAACATTACAGCAGATTAATCAAGTATAATTTTATTTCTTTTTTTTTTTTTTAACTTAAAAAATTTTTATTTTTGTAATAATAATAGTTAATAATAAGTTTATAGTTAATAATAGTAATAATAGTTGATTTTTCTTTTCAATTTTTGTTTTTCTATAGTTATTCAATTTTTAGTATTAATTTTCAAGGTTTTGACTGATAAAGAAAGGCTTGTTAAAAGAACACAACTTAAAAGAACACCCTACAGAATCTTAGGAGAAAATGAAACTGCAGATTCTTCAGCACCGGTTTGAAATAATTTAAATAAATTTTTTTATGAAAATGTTTCTGAAAATGTTTTAGCAAAGTTGTTTAAAAGGTTTAACTAGGTTTTTTTATTCAATTTTAATATTTAATTTATCTCTCCAGATAATATAATTATTTAAATAAGTTTACTTATTTAAATAATTATATTATTTTAAATAAGGGGCAAACCAATATCTACTTTTAGATGATGGTTATGGATTTAGACTGATACCAATGTATTTATATTAGGGGGTACACCCTTATTTTAAATGTTTTATGCATCAATACACCCCTATTTAAATACTATTAAGTTTTAACATGTTAACATGTTAACAATTCAATGCAATTAAGTAGGTTTTGAACACAGTGAGAAAATTTAGACTTTTTTCCATTTTTATTTTCAGACTTTTTTTTTACTGCTTTAATAAGTCTTTGAAGCACTTTATAATTTTTTCTTCTTTTACCTTAACTTTTCCTTCCTGACACTCCACACTTGTAAGTCATAACTCTCCACAAAATCAATCAAGGTTGTTATTTTTTGCTCATGACTCATGCTACTTATTTATTTACTTATTTATATATATATCTTTAATGACCGGTTGCTGTTAGAAGTAAAGATTCTTTGAACTTAGCCCTAGCACATTACATTATTTTCCCTGATATCTTTTATAATCCAAATATATCTCTCAAAATAGATTCAAAACCAACAATATTAGGAGCAACTTGCATACTGCTACATCTTATCTGCGTAGTGTTTTTATTGACTTCAACTAAAAGTTGACTAGTTGAAATTAGTCAACTTTGAAAAAACTAATAGTCGATTTAATCGACCTTGAACTTCCTACTAATCGACTAAATGTTGATTTAGTTTTTGATTTAACAATAATATAATAGTATATGAAAAATGAGAGATTAAAAGTTAAATTGATTGAAAAAATCAATTTAACTTTCAATCTTTCATTTTTCATTTCATAAAAATGACATATACTATTATATCTGCTATCTAGTTTTTTTGTTAACTTAAAATTTTATCTAATTAATCACATTATATTCATTAGTATAAGTTAGCCCCTGAACTAAAACATCTAAGTTATACAGAAAGATTGACAAAGTTGGGCCTCACAACTCTGGAAATAAGACGTATAAGAGGAGATCTCATTGCTTTCTTCAAATTAACAACTGAAATTGATAAAATGTTGTGGTATAAAGAGCCTAATAAAGCTTCTTCCCAGAGACTTCGAGGTCATCCAATGAAATTTGAAAGAGAATTTGCAAAAACAACACCGAGACATAATTTTTTTACAAACAGAGTGACAGCTCATTGGAATGCTTTACCTGAAAAAGTGGTTTCTACAATGACACTAAATTTTTTTAAAGCTAGACTAGATAAACATTTGTTAACGGCTGTTAAAGTATAAATTTTAAACTTTATGCTCCGCGACAATCGTCGTTACAGCAGTTTGTATTACTATTACTATTACTAGTATTGTTTAAACTTAATTAAACATTTGGTTATGTTCATTAATTTTTTTTTTCTTTTGTATATAAATTACCACATTATTTTTATTACAACTTATTTCAAAAAAATAAATTATTTCCATATTTTGACTAATAAATCCAACTTTTAGACAACTAAGTCGATTTCAAAAATGTATAAGTTGACAGTTCAGTTATTTAAAAGTCGTAACAACACTATTTCTGAGTTCATTCTTTATAACTTTTGTATCATTTATGTTCATCCTGAACCTTTTTGCATCCATTCTATCTTCCAACACTAAACTCTTTTTATCTCTGCAATCAAGTATCAAGTTTTATGCGAATAGATTCTGTGGTAAACTAACTTTGAAATCTTTAGGAAGAGAAAAAATCTCTAGGAAGAGCTTCCAATACAATAATAAATGAAAATAATAAAAAATCTGAACAATGATGATGCATTTTATTATGAAATTTGATTCAGTACTTTATGCACAATGTTTGTTACAAAACTTTTACTTTTTTCTTTTTTTGTGTTGATTGTTTTGTAGCATTTCCATACAAAGCCATGATAATTGTTACCATCCATTTTTCAATGCCTAGATAACTTTAACCCTTTACTAGGCTTAGTTGCCATAAAGTAACAAAATATACGATCCCATCAATTGACCTTCACAATTTTCGAGGTTTTTACATGATATTAAGTATTTCTATCATTATTAAAGTCATAATGGCGACTTGCATGGTCCTATATTTAGGCTACATTTCTGGTTATTTTTAGCAAAATAATATTTTTTAAAACAAAATTATCGTAATTTGCACAGTAAAGGGTTGTAAAGTGCATCATACTTTCTTGTTACTGTCAAAATACTACTTTTACTTCTACTACTAAATACTTATTAAAAAAAAGGGTTGCGGTCTTATTTGCCTGTTTATTTTGTAAGTTTTAAGTTTTAAAATAATCATTTAAGAAATAAGTCTCAAGAGACATAGAATTGTTAATTAGTTATAAATAAATAATAATATAGTATATAAATAAATAATAGAATTAAATATTGAACTAAATATTAAAATAATAAAAATTAAACAATAACATATTATAAATAATTGCTATAATAAAAATAATAATATATAAATGATAATATTATTAATGCATAACAATTTTGTTGAAGGTATATCAATATTACTTTTATGTATTAGTTGTATTAAGTATTTTTTTTTTTTTTTAATGACACCTGTTCTTGTCGCAGCATTAAACTGGTTCTATATGAAAAATGTTTGTTTGGGGAGGCACTTTAGTCACAGCGAAAGCAAATCATCTAGTGTTAGTTCGTTTTGCTCAAAAGTATTTACCAAATTATGTATTTTAAATTTAAATGACCATTTATGTTAGGAATTCCATTTCTTACTTGGTTCTTACAAGTACTACTCTTTTGTCAATCCTTGTTTTATAACATAGTTTTTTATTTAAAATTTAAGGTATCAAAACTGAAATGTTGCATGATAGAGTAAACTGAGATAAAAGTAAACAAAAAAAAAAGTGCATGGTTCAGCAATTTTGTTTCTTTTGCATTCAGGGGCGTGGTGGCTGTAATAGGCCTATGCATGATTTTATTAAAAAAGCCTATATATGTAGGATTTTACCATATATGATGAATGTAAAGGTCCATACTTGTCTGTAAAAAATGACATCTATCTGTCATTTTGTCCAACCCATATTTTGAGTGCATTTATTTTGTAATTAATTTAGTTGTTTCAAAATTATTAATAAATTTCAGTAGTGTATATAAACTTCATTTTTTGAACTTTTTATTTTTTATACAAAACAGAAAAAGAAGCTACTTTAATAAGAAACTACTTTAATACATAATTTTTTTTGAACTAATTCATTTTTCAAGACACCTTAGCGTTGATTTTTTTTTTTTTGAATTAAGTGGCCCGGTTTTTATCATTTATATTAAAATGTTGCAATTAATTATTAACTTAAATTTGTATTTCAGTATTTGTATTATTTTTTGTATGATTTTTTTTAAATGAATATTTTAGCTTTTTTAAAACCCTTTTAAACTTATTTTTTAGAAAGGTTAACATAATAGTTTTTTTAATGCTTATAGAAACCAGTATTTTTTTATTAGACTATTAAACTTGAGTTATGTTACGTTTTCTATCGCGCCAAAGTTTTTCGCTGTTAAAAGTGTTTATAAAAGTATTCATAGAAAAAGTTAAAAAAGATTTATCAAAAATTATATATATTTTTAGAATATTATATGTAATTACTTTTATATAAATATGTCAAAAGTAATTATAAGTAATTAAGTATAATATTCTTTGATAATTTAAATAAAATGGATTTATTGTAAACAGTCATTAAAATTAATTTGTTACTTTATTTAATAAAGTAATAAGTAAACATAATTATTTATTATTTAATATATTACAATTATTATTTAATATATTTATTATTTAATAACTTACAAAGCATTTCGCATAGTTAAGTATTTTTTTAAAAACATAATTTTAATATATTTTCCTTTTCTAATTTTAGATTTTTGAGCTTAGATTTTTTTCCCTTTTTTTTTTCAAGATTTTTTTATTTTATATAAATTATCTTTCAAATTTTTTTTAAAGATTAATTGGACCGATAGGAGACAATTTAAAAAAAAAAATTAGGAAAATAAAATATCTTTTAATGCAAAAAAACTTAAAGCAAAATAAATTACGTTTACAGGCTTTCACAGGAAGGCTGCGAATTCACGTCTTTATATGACCACGCAAATTACATTTTGCTATGACAATTTGACTGCAACTAATTCAAAAAACATTTTAAAAACGCGGTAAATAAAAAATATTTTGAAAAAGTGAATTTATTTACATCAAAACTTCAAAACAAATGTTTTCATTTTAATGAAACGCTTTTCAATGGAGTAACAAAACACTTCTAATTAGTTTTTAAAGTAATTAGTATTAAATTGTATTTTTTATATTAATTACAATTGCAATTAAAGTTACATGGTACAGATATGAACCGTAAGTTCATCATTAGCTAGCAAGCTAGCTTGTATAGCTGTGATAATACAGCCATGGAAAATGATGCACTGTGGTAACTATGTGGGTTGCTGGTCTAGTTTTTTTTTGAAACTATCAATAGTAGAGGCACTGACAACATCATCTGTCAGAGCATTCTAAGTATTTGCAAGCCGATTGTTGAAAAAGTTGAGTCGAACAAGGCAGTTGTTATTAATTTCTCGTTAAAAGCGTTTGCGATGACCATAGATGGGAGGAATGTATATTGGGTCAATATGCCAGTTGATTAATTCAGTTTTATTTTCAATTTTGAATTTTTGGATAAGGTCACCACGTTTTCTTCTGTCACTTCGTGAAGTTAGTCCAAGTATATCACATCTTGTCTTGTAATCAAGGTGCTTTAATTCATGAGGTACTTTTGTGGCACGATGTTGTATTTGTTCAATTTCAGTTATTTTTTAAGGTGAGGGCACCAGGTGGTGATAGCATGTTCTAGATGTGGACG